GACCTGGCAAATCTACCTTAGACCAGATATTCACAGTACGTCAAATCCTGCAGAAAAAAAAAACAACTCGACACACCACCTATTTGTCAACTTCAAAGCCCTTTGTGACACTATAACTAGAAGCAATCTCTATGCAGCTATGTTTGGATTTAGTATCCCAACAAATCTTATACGGCTATATAAAATGATGTTAAGCAACACCACCAGCTCCGTTAGAATTGGGAAGAACCTCTCCAAGCCGTTTACTCCCAAACGAGATTCCAGACAGGGTGATCCCTTTTGGTGTGACTACTTTAACCTAATGTTGGAAACGATAATTCGAGCATCAGATTTAAACCGCACTGGCACAATATTCTAAAAAGTGTAATGCTGCTTACGAATGCCGATGATAATGATATCATTGGTCTGAACACCCGCGTCGTCAGTGCGGCATTTTCCAACTTAGAAAAACAAGCAAAGCAAATGGATCTTGTGGTAAATGAGGACAAAACAAAGTACTTTCTGTTAACAAACGCATCTCCTGAGTATCTTGGGACCAAGGTCAATGTTGACAATTTTAAGTTCGAAGTTGTGAAAGACTTTATTTATTAAGGAACCAGCGGAAATACCAAAAATGACGTCAGCCTATCCTGGTGTATGGTGCAGAAGCTTGGACAATAACCAACAGTGATGAAAAAGTGTAAGACGGATTGGAGGATTCTTCGGAACATTTATGATCCTTACACATTTGCGGCGAGTATCGAATTAAATGGAACGATGAACTGTATAAGCTGTACCGCGACATTGACCTAGTTAAGCACATAAATTTGTAGTTGCTTCGCTGGCTTGATCATGTCGTGCGAATGAAAGATAGTGCTCCGACTCGAAAGGTGTTTGATTCGGTACTACCAACTGGCGACAGCAAGTGTTATGGTCAACTTAGTAAGTAAGTGAAACTAATTTAACCTAAATACACCTGGCTCATTCAATCTATTATTAAGTTTTATACTAAGCAATCTCATTCAGCCTTCACGCTAATTCAGTCGAAGTTATTTTCATAGGTCTTTCGTTATACTCAAGAAGACGGACTCAAGACACCATAGCGAGTAGCCATGCCTCCTCCAGGACTTTTTTCGTTTATCAGAATAGGTATTATTGGGATACCAATATCCGCGACAGGCACCTTAGTTGGCAAAGTTTGTGTGTTTCTTAATTTTTATAATTGAAAATATAGTGCGCGTGAAATTAATTTAATTTTTGTTTAAAATGTAAAGTGACTTGGTAAAATCTCGCAATTTATAAATACCATTTTGTAATTAAATGACTTATATAAGCATTTCAACGTAAAAATAAACAAAATAAAACTTAAATTACGTATATTCCTTTTTACCTTATTTTGAATCTTATTGCAACGAATCGGGACAACCGTTTTGCTTACCTCAGCAAACATACGAGTAAAAAGTTCGTTTCAACCTTTTCTATTACTTCTCGATTTTAATAATTCCTTCATCAATTCATATAAGAGAAATATAAATAATTTGGACATGTAATTCGCCTCTGTTAGAAAAATCATGAATTCTGAGAAGGTACACGCAAAGGCCAAAACATGTTTGTTCAAATATAAAAACCAACGTTGTTACAGGCAAAATACAATCGCGGGCCAATACAAATCACTAAAAATAAAAATAAAAATGCGGCGACAAAGTTTAATTTAGTTTAATTAATTTTTCATTCATATATCTTTTGCAAATCTATCAATATTAGCATTGTTAATATTGGTTATTGATATATGAAATATATTTTATTTTTAATCTAATGACTAATGGCACTGGATACGATTTACTTGAACCAGTTTTACAAAGAAATTAGTACGGAAGTCTTTATCAATTAAGTAAATTAACGAGTCATAAATTATTCAAAACATTTTAATTTATTTATTTCGGATACCAAAAAATAAAATTATGTGATGTTACTAGGTAAAATATTTTTTTATATTTTATTGCTTATTGTATCTTTCTGATTAGAACTTCACCATTATGTAATCAAATCTTAAAAACCCAACATAACGCAATTAACAGGTCAAAAAAAAAGTTAACATTTATAAGTAAATTAATTTGTTTTTATTAGAATTTGTAACAAATGAAAGAAATTTTTATCAAAATCACATTAAATTCCCATAAAGGTTTTTGCTGTACTCTGGTTGTTGTGGTATACGAAAGCAACTATTGCGCCATTAGATTACGATGCTGATATAGTTTCATTTTATATATTTGGCCTCATGTTCTAATAACATCTGTTACTATTGAAATTCAGAGATCATTGTGAATATGTAAATATTTAAGATACCAAGGAACGTCTGTTATTTGTCTAACAGTTTTTATTTTGACAATATTTGTTTTGAACTCTCTGCATTTTTTCAATATTATAAGCGCATGCTGTACTCCAGAGTTCGATGCCATAGGACCAGATAGGTTTTAAGATTGAATTATATACTAGGACTTTATTTTCCAGACTTAGTTTAGAATTTTTATTAATAAGCCAATGAAGCCGTTGTGATTTAAATTTTATTTGAGATAAGAGAGATTCTCATTTGTGAAACTGTCTATTTAAGAGACAGTGCACTCATTTAGTCACAGTCTGAACAAAGAATTGCGGTGTTATTTATTTTTATTTAATTAGTGACATCAAAGTGACAACAAAACCTGCAACTTGAGCATTGAAAGTTTGTGCACCCTTGGCTACTTGTGGATAAATGCGATTAGTCATCGCTTCTAATTTGACGGGCACGAGTTCTAAGCCTGGTACTTGCAATCCAAACAAATTATATACGGACTATAAACTAATTAAATAAAAATTCGATTATTTCCTAAAACCACTGATGAAGAGTACTTGGCAATACTCGAAACAGCGTTGTATGGTCAGCCCAATTTCAATAAATTAAATAAATTTTTGTCTTTGTCCTTTCTTTCTTTGGTATTCGAATACATCGAAATATTAAATTTTATCACAGTTAGAAAGCTGTTCACTTTGTTTTGGTGTTTCATAACATCAATGATGACGAAATCGATTAAATCTGATGGCCAGTATGTTGAGTGATACGAACAAATAACATCAAAGCTGTTGCCAAGTCCTGCATATAGTTAACGACTTCTGGGAGATATGAGCTCAGAACACCAAAAGGTGTGTTTAGCATTGAAGTCACTAGCTACTAGAAACTCAAGACCGAGATCATTAAACAATTTCCTGATTTGATCATTATTAACGGCAAAGTTAGGAGAACAATAAATTGCTGAGGAGACAATTTTGGTAAGACCCGATAAAAGCCGGAATTCCACAAGGGAGTGTACTAGGTCCAACCCTCTACACACTGTTCACAGCTGACTTACCACTTAATCCATTAAAGTATTCCGCAGCTTTTACTGATGACACACTGATCATGGCTAAAAGCAAAGACCCAACAGTAGCTACTAGTCAGTTGCAAACAAACCTAGACAGCATCCAAGTGTGGCTAAACAATTGACGCATTAAAGCTAATGAATCTAAATCTGCACAAACCACATTCACTCTTCGCCTTGGTACCTGCCCACCAGTCACACTAAATAATAACATATTGCCACAATCCGATCACGTGAAGTATCTAGGTGTTCATCTTGATCGGCGTCTCACTTGGAAACACCATATATTTACTGGCTTCTTTCCCAAAATTCAAATCTATCAGATCGATATTACAGAGATTTGAATCAAAAATACTTCGTTTATGCGCAGCTGCTCCATGGTATATACCAAATAGTACTTTACAGTGCGATCTCCACGTCCCATCAGTGTTTGAAACAATACAAACAATCAGCAATAACAACCGTACAAGACTATTAAACCAGTCGAATTCACTGGCACACGAGCTGTTATCAGATATCAGTTATCCACGTCGACTAAGAAGATTTACTACGTCGAACTTGCCAAGTAGAACCCTAAACACGTGAATCGTAATTGTAAACTCACTGAAATTAAACATTTATAGCCAACTATTTACTACTGAGTGTCCCGCACATGTCCACATATCATTTTATTCTATAAAATATAATCTATATACATAAAAGAAAGTCGTGTTAGTTACACCACTCATAACTCAAGAACGGCTGAACCGATTTTAATTATCTTTGATTTGTTAGAATCGTCTCAGCTCCGAATAGCAGAATACATTATAAAATATTGGAAAAATCCACTTATTTTAGCAAAAATAATAAATTTGTAAATGCTGTTTCAAACTGTTGACAGTTCGACAGTTTGAGTGATATTGATTTCTTTTTTAATTTTTTTTTCAAATATTTCAAATATTTCAAATTTCAAATATAATAAATTCAAATATAATAAATAAATATTGTTATCAATATACCATCGAATCCACGTGACCTGTGGAACAAATATAAGGATAACATGTCAGAAGACATTTTACATAGAATTCGTGTCAGTTCAAGAAATCCCGATCTTGAGGTGAATGATGAAATGCATAATCAGGCTTTGCTCTTGATCGAAGACATATGTTACCATACGTGCGGTAGTTTGTTAGTCAGATTAGGAATGCCAGCTCCTGATCGTGGAATAAATTACGCATTTGATCGAGAATTGGAACGTGGACGTTAATATGATCGACATGAATTAGACCAATCAGTTCAAACTAATGTACCTCTATTGAATCCGCAACAGAAGGAAATTTAACATTAATGAAAGCGATTGATGAAGAAAATGGTGGCTTCTTTTCCTGGACGCCCGCGGTGGAACTGGTAAAACATTCCTCATGTCATTAATTTTGGCCACTGTTCGTGCGAGATCCGACATTGCGGTAGCAGTTGCTTCTTCTGGAATAGCGGCTACATTGTTAGAAGGATGCCGTACGGCTCATTCAGCGTTAAAATTGCCGTTAAACCTTCAAACTACCGAGCAACCGATATGTAATATTGCGAAGCATTCTACAATGGCTAAAGTTTTAGTAGCATCTAAAATCAGCATCTGACGAATGCACAATGGCGCACAAACGCGCATTAGAAGCACTTGACAGAACATTGAAAGATCTTCGCAATGGCTGGAGATGTTTTGGAGGCGCAATGATTTTACTATCTGGCGATTTTCGCCAAACACTCCCAGTCATTCCAAAATCGACTGCTGCCGACGAAATAAATGCTTGCCTTAAATCATCAAATCTTTGGCGCTATGTGAAGAAACTTCAGCTGGTAACAAACATGAGAGTTGCATTGGTCAACGATACATCTGCTGAAGAGTTCTCCAAGCAATTGCTGTTAATCGGTAATGGCCATGTGGCTGTTGAAGAATCGAGCGGATTAATTGCATTTTCTTCAAATTTTTGCAATTTCGTCTCATCAAAAGACGAACTTATCAATGAAGTATTTCCGAACATCATTGATAATCATAAAAACAAAAAATGGTTGAGTGAGCGAGCAATTTTGGCAGCTAAGAACAAAGATGTGAACGACTTAAATTTTGTAATTCAAAATCAAATCGTTGGTAATCTGCATACATTCAAATCTATTGACTGTGTAACAAACGAAGAAGAAGCTACCAACTATCCAACTGAATTTTTGAACTCCTTGGATGTGCCTGGCTTACCACCGCACAATTTACAATTAAAGATTAGTTCGGTAGTCATTATGCTTCGAAATCTAAACCAACCAAAACTATGCAATGGAACGCGTTTAGTGATAACAAAACTGATAGCCAATGTGATTCACGCAATGATACTCAAAGGAAAATTCAAAAGTGATGAAGTTCTCATTCCGAGGATTCCAATGATCTTAATCGATATGCCCTTTGAATTTAATCACAAGGCCAATCCTTTAGTGTTTGTGGTCTGAATCTAGAAAATGCATGTTTTTCACATGGTCAGTTGTACGTGGCATGTTCACGTGTAGGCAAACCATCCGCTTTATTTGTTCTTGCGCCTGATAAAAAAACAGAAAATATCGTATATCACAAGGTTCTTTATTGAAGAGAATCAATTGGAGTGCAACCCATAAGTTCTTGCTGACAGACCATTAAAATAATGAATTATATATCAATATCCTAATAAACTATTGAATACAATAAATTTTTTGTATTCATTTTATTACGTTAATAAATTTCTAAATTTAGTTTACCTATAATTTAATATAACATTTATTGACTGTTACGCGGTACGAAGTTCGTGGGGTCACCTAGTAAATAAATACAAAAAAAAAAAAATTTTGGTAAGACCAGAAATTACGCAAATAGATGAGGCTGAAGATATTTAAGACAATGCTTTTGGATTTCATAATGTTGAATTGTGTTTCTAACTAGTATATCAGACCACCATATGCTTTGCCATCTGGATGTTTAGTATCATAAAACTTATATCCATAAACATGAAAACTCGAGTTTTTGAAGGTTAAATGTGTTTTTGATATAAGCAGAGTGTCGATGTTGTTATTCACAAGAAATCGGTTACTTCCAGTAAATGTTGGCTTAAGCCGTTTGCATTCCAATGGCATATTGTGAATGCATTTATTTGGGTCTTAGCAACTCAGCAATTAAATTTTGGTTTTGTATCATGATTTGCATTAAGCTATTCATCATATTTTGCATGAAGTCCACAAAGTGTTAAAGTTTTTAGTAAAACTTGCGAGCATTGCTTCAAAACCTGGAACGGAAGTAGAGCTATAGGTAAGAAATAGTTTTGTTTAGTCACAATTGCGTATGTCATTTGCTGTGTTAGAAGGAACGGTGGTTGCAATCCAGAGTATGCATTTTTTGGAAGGGGTGGATAATGAGATGTTGTATGACATGTATCTGCAGTTTGTGTTTCTGTAACTATTACTTTGATATTGGTTTCTTTGAATATTTAATTGGCTATTGTTTCGGTTTCTTTGACCATAATTGTTGTTATGTTGACTTCTTTGACCATTATAATTGTTACATTGGTTTCTTTGACCATTGTAATTGTTTTATCGGTTTCTTTGACCGTTGTTGTTATATTAAATTCTTTGGTTGTTATTATTGTTATGTTGATTTCTTTGACAATTTTCTAGAGCGTTTAATGTTGTTGTTATAACCATTATTTTTACCTATAGAATTGGAATTATTTTTTCCCTGATGGTTATATTGTGGCGATGTGTTGCCACAGCAATGTAAAATACGTTAGTTTTGGTCGGAAAACATCAAATTTTCAGCCCTTTTTCTTGCTTTTTGGTAGGATGTTCTTTGGTTTGCGATGCTTGGACAGTTTGGGAGTATAAGGCATTTAGGCTTTTTCAATACGCTAAGAGTGCGTGCTCATCATTGCAAAGTATTATGATCTCGCCTTCACTTGATGTTGCGTATACCCTCTGTTTTAATGACGTTGAATTGTTTAGATTGATTTACAATCTTGCCATCTTGTCGCTGAAATGTTGTTATGTAAGTCTATGTGTAGAAGTTGATATATTAAAAAAGGCGATGAAATGAAATGAAGTGTATGATATTATCTCGTACCTCGGTAATATTTTTTCTTTTTGGTTTTATTTATTTTTAGTCAATGTACTTAAATTACGACATAAGTCGCTACATAAAAAATACACTTATTCGACCTTAAAAGAAGAACCGCACATAAACAAAACAATATTACAATATAACCGCTTATGACAAAAATGCAAGTGATAGAAATTTCGAAAGTAACTCACTTACTAATTTTCACGACAAATAATACGTTGCATTCCTAAGAAATGTATAGGGAAATGCAACGGATATTAAAGTGGAATTTTGTTTATGTGCAATAAATTATTTTTGGGTCACAATATTGACCCAAAACGTCTCGTGTGTTATTTTATTTTCTACTTTTCGCACTGAATCAAGATCGATCCTTAACTTGCACATGCATAAAAACAATAAATAATAATAGAAAGGTTTTTCTTCATCTAACTTCGTTTGTTTTGGTTTGCAGAATTGCGGCGAAAGCCCTGTATATATTCCGAGCTTGCAAGTTCTAGCGTTGCCAAGGACGCAAAATGAAATAAAATTAGGAGATTTTTTGTTTGTTATTCGGAATGTAAAAAAACCAAAACAAATGTTAGTAGCGACTGAAGGGAAAAATTTTTTCTAGCCCGCAAGGACTGGTAACTGAGTAAAAAGTTTATGGAAGGGCAGTTATAAGTATTAGCGGACATATAAAAGACGCTAGCGGGAAAGTAAGTCTTTTGCTTGGTTAAAAAGTATTTTGCTGTAAAATATAAACTATTTTAAAAATTTCAATTGGACATAAGAAGTTTGTGTTCAATAGAAAGTCAATTTATTTAAATAACTGATTTAAAATATTTCTGGTTATATATAAATTATTTAAAAAAAAGGAAAAAAGAATAAAACATCAAATTTGGCATACAAAGTTTTTTTTCTGTTTTAAAATTATTTGCCTAATGATTGTGTTTAATAGAAAAGGCAGTTATTAAAAACAAATTATCAAATTTTCCCTTTTTTTCTTGTAAATACAAATATTAAAAACCAATCAAAAATAAAAAGTGGCACAAATAGTACTTTTTAATAACACTTCGTTCAATAGTGTGTGTGACTGACACATAGATGGCGGCACTAATACTAAATAAATATTTTTTTTCGAAAGTGGCAACCTTTTTAGGCTTACTGTCAAAATCATATGTTAATCCGACCATTTGTTTACAAATTACAGTGCTTTAAGTGACGCTACTTTTGAGTTTCCAAAAAAAAATTAATTCAAAGCAATTCCGTGTGCTGATTTCTCATTGTTTTTTAATGAAAAAAAATACTGTTCAATGCCAGGAATGGCTTGAAAAACATTATTCGGACTCTGCTCCATCAAAAAGAAGCATTTGTTATTGGTATGCCGAATTCAAACGTGGTCGTACAGACACCGATGGCATTCCATCTACTGGACGGCCAAATGACGCTGTTATTCCGAAAAACGTTGAAAACACACTGAAAATCATTATGTCCGACCGTAAAGTGAAAGTGAGGGAGATTGCTGACAGTCTACAGATATTAGCAGGCAGTGTACACACCATAATACACGAACATTTGGGTATGAAAAGTGTGTTTTCCAAATGGGTGCCGCGTTTGCTCACATCGGAGCAAAAACAACAACGAATCGATGATTCAAAGAGCTTTTTGGACATGTTTACGCGCAATAAGTCGGAGTTTTTGCGTCGGTACATCACGATGGATGAAACATGGATCCACCATTTCACTCCAGAGTCAAATCGGTACTCCAGAGTCATGCTGAGTGGCATGCAGCCGCTGAAAGCCGCCCAAAGCGACCAAAGACGCAGCAGTTGGGTGGCAAGGTTATGGCGTCTGTATTTTGGGATGCGCATGGAATAATATTTATCGACTATCTCCAGAAGGGGAAGACCATCAACAGCGACTATTATATAGAATTATTGGAGCGTTTGAAAGACGAAATCGCAAAGAAACGGCCTCATATGGCGAAGAAAACAGTTTTGTTCCACTAAGACAATGCACCGTGTCACAAGTCGATGAAAACGATGGCAAAATTGAACGAATTGATCTACGAATTGCTGCCGCACCCACCGTATTCTCCAGATCTGGCCCCCAGCGACTACTGGCTCTTCGCAGACCTCAAAAAGATGCTCCGTGGTAAGAGATTTGGCTCAAATGATGAAGTAATTGTCGAAACTAACGCCTATTTTGAAGGCAAAGAACAATCGTTTTACAAAGGTGGTATCGAAAGATTGCAAAAGCGTTGGAATGGTTGTATCTCCCTAAAAGGGGACTATGTTGATGAATAAAAACGAATTTTGGCCCAAAAATGTGTTTTAATTAGTTAATCACACACATTATTGAACGAAGTGTTACGAGTCAAGTTTTTACATTTTTTTTTGTAATTACTGAGTTTTAAAATGAGTTTTGTACATGGAACAACAACAACACGATGCTAGTAACTACTAAAGACGTTTTAGTGACACATCAGAGTATACTATTTAATTTCACACACTCTAAGAATTTTAATATAATCTAAAATAAAATAAATGAATTTCATTAATTTCTTATTTAAATAACTCACAAGTAACACACCGCAACTGCTTCGGTAACACATGGAATACATCTGAAGTTATTATCACAATTACAACATTTATTGTTGAAATATATTTAAATAAGTGAAGAATATACACACCTTATTTATTCAGTACTTAGGGTATATGTTTATTTTATTTATTGTTTAATATTTATTTTATTTATTTTATTATTTTTATTATTTATTAATAAATACCCACACGAACAACAGCAACAAAATACAAAAAGTATAAAAAATACCAACGGCAAATGTGCCGATGCGCTACAAAAAAAGCCTCGGTCGATTTCGTATAAATAAGCGAACATCATAGAAGAAAAATCACTGAAACAAGTCAATAGAACCGTAGTCAAGGTAGTTACATACATCTTGACTAGTAATCTGGTATCACGTCAAGGTAGTTATATACATGTTGACTAGTAGTTTTATTTAAATCACATCAAGGTAGTTAAATGCATCTTGACTAGTAGTCATATATCGTGTCAAGGTTGTTAGCGTACATCTTAACTAATAGATTGCATATGTAAATCGTGTCAAGGTTATCACCATATATCTTGAGCAGTAATCTTATATGTAAACCAAGCCAACGTAGGCATAATACATCTTGACTAGTAGTATTTTATGTAGGATCAAGTTAAGGCATTAACATTAATACAACATTAATAAATGCTAATCAAGGCTGTAACTCAGCATAACACTTTTAATCTCCAGTGAACGACGTCTTCTGACAAAACACCGAGACTAGCACGAGTAGTGTCGTGTGTCAACAACATTTCAAGCACGTGGAAACAACGATCAAAG